GTTATATTCAGGACCTTTCAACTTGGAAAACGATTGGGATGGGCAAAGTGAAGCAAGGGCTTTACCATATACTGCAAAAGGAGGTCTCCCCTTCATCTTTATCAGAAGCTTTATCACAATTCAACCTAAACGCTAGCATTTCTACCTCAATTAGCAACCATACTGGAGCATCGAATCTCTAGAATTATAGATTAGGTCATTCCTCTTACTCTGAATTCAAGTTAGCTGATGATGTTCAAATACCTAAATCGTCCAGTAATAAGCTTTGCCTCATTTGTCCTTTGGCTAGACAGCACAAATTACCTTTTCCTTTAAGTCAGCACAAAACAGGAAAACGTTTTGAACTAGTACATTGTGATATTTGGGGTCCTTGCAATGGTTCTAAATACTTCTTAACTATTGTAGATGATTTCAGTAGGTCTAGTTGGACTTATATGTTGAAACTAAAATCAGAAGCAAACAATACTTTGCAAAGTTTCTGCAATATGGTAGAAACTCAATTTGAAACAAAAATAAAAATTATTCGAAGTGATAACGGAAAAGAGTTTGACATGAGAGATTTTTTCTTAAAAAGAGGTATCATACATCAAAAAACATGTGCAGACACCTCAACAAAACGCCATTGCTGAAAGGAAACATCAACACATTTTAAATGTAGCAAGAACATTAAAATTTCAAAGTGGGATTTGTTTGAAGTATTGGAATAATTGTGTTCTCACAGTTGTATACCTCATTAATAGGACCCCAACTCCATTGTTAAATGATAGAAGTCCTTTTGAAATGTTGTTCAAAACCAAACCCAACTATACACACCTCAAAGTATTCGGCTGCTTAGCCCTTGCCACCACCTTTGTCAGTGGAAGGTACAAATTTGATCCTAGAGCCAGAAAGTGTGTGTTCATCGGATATCCTTTTGGTATCAAGGGATATAGACTACTGGACCTAGACACTAAGAAAGTTTTCATTTTTCGAAACGTTGTCTTCTATGAAACTATTTTCCCTTTCAAAGATTACAATATCAGCAACTTTGACACTTTATCAAACCCAAATGAACGCAATTCCATCCAAGATCCAGATATTTTCATTCCCAACCCACCAATTGACAATGATCCTATTCTTGTAGACAATCAAAATGCTAATTCCGAAGAACCGATAATTGTAGAATCATCCGATTCACAAACAAATGAGATGGTTACTGACCAATCAACACCTGAACCAGAAATTGACCAAGACATTCCCCACCATTTTCCATGAAGGTCAACCAGAATAAGGAAAGCTCCAACACACTTACAAAACTACATATGCAAGCAGGCTACTTCACTTCTCCCATCTCAGAAGTTCGACAAACAGAAGGTCTAAATTCTGCCGGGTAATCCCTTTCCTCTTAGTGCTTGTGTGTCTTACAATAAGTTGTCTTCATCATACAAAGCCTTTGTAACTTCAATAACTTCCCAAGAAGAACATAAGAATTATCTAAAAGCTAGAACATTCCCTGAATGGAGAAATGCAATGAAAGCTGAGATTGAGGCTCTTGAGTTCAATGATACATGGGTAATTGTTGATTTAACTCCTAACAAAAAAGCAATAGGCTGCAAATAGGTTTACAAGATTAAATTTAATGCTGATGGGAGTATAGAAAGGTACACGACAAATCTTGTGGCAAAAGGATACACACAATGAGAAGGCTTGGATTATCATGAAACTTTCTCACCCGTAGCAAAAATGGTTACTGTAAAGACACTATTGGCTGTTGCAGCGGTGAAAGGATGGTTTCTGCATCAATTTTATGTTAATAAAGCCTTCATATACAGGGTTTTCGAGGAGGAAGTATACATGGAACTACCACCTGGATATCACAATGAGAATGACAAGAAAGTATGTAAGCTTAACAAAAGTCTTTATGGACTTAAACAAGCTTCACGCCAATAGTACTCAAAACTCTCTAGCTTTATCTTTCAACAGGGATATTCTCAATCTAAGGCAGATTATAGTTTATTTACAAAGTCAAACATACTTCTTTCACAACCGTTTTAGTGTATGTAGATGACATAATGGTTGATGGAAATTGTGTGAAGACAATCAATTAGCTAATGTACTTGATGACAAGTTCAAAATTAAAGATCTTGGCGAGCTGAAGTACTTCCTTAGAATTGAGGTAGCAAGATCAGCAAAAGGAATTTATTTATCTCAACGGAAGTATGCATTGGATATTTTGGCAGATTCAGGCACTATTGGTTCAACTCCAGCCACAATTCCTTTAGACCAAAATGTTAGATTATCTAAAGAAGATGGAGAGATCCTTCGAGAACCTGGCATTTATAAAAGGTTAATTGGCAGGCTTTTGTATCTGACGATAACAAGACCTGACTTGGCATACTTGGTTCAGATGTTGAGTCAGTTTATGGACAATCCTCTATTGCCACACTTACATGCAGTCCACAAAGTACTAAGGTACATCAAAAGGGCTCCAGGACAAGGATTGTTTTATCCAACAAATACAGATATTCAACTCAAAGGCTACAGTGACTCAGACTGGGGGCATGTCTAGACACGAGAAGGTCGGTAACAGGTTATTGCATGTTTGTAGGAAGCTCTTTGGTATCTTGGAAATCAAAGAAACAAACCGTAGTCTCTAGATCCTCTACAGAAGCAGAGTATAGAGCCATGGCTAATGTTTGTTGCGAATTGACTTGGCTCAGGTACTTGTTCATAGATCTGTAGGTTTCACATCCACGGACTGCTCTTTTGTATTGTGACAACAAGTCAGCGATACATATTGCCACAAACCCTGTATTCCATGAGAGAACTAAACATATAAAAATTGATTGTCACTTAATTCGAGATAAGATTCAAGAAGGAAGCATTTTGGCAAAACATGTATCTAGTAGTTCACAAGTGGTAGACATCTTCACTAAGAGCTTAGGCTCTCAAAACCTTTATTCTTATATGCTCAAGATGGGAGTAAAAGATGTCTACACTCCATCTTGTGGGGGGCTGTTGAAGAATGAAGGAGAAACTGAGTCACACCAGCAGGCCTATAACAGATTGGAAAATAGGCCCATAACATATCATCAAACAGCCCATGAATGAGTAACCCATATCAGATCATTAGAAGGCAAGAAGGATCTAGAGAAGAAGAAAAGAAAGCTCCCAGAAGCAGGCCAAAAAGAATATGCTGTTAGTTAGAGAAAAGTTGTTGTATATATTAAAATTCATTTTCTTTACTTTTTAGAGTTTGTTAGATTTGATTCCTTTGTACTTCTATAAATTCAGCCATTGTACAGCCATTAAGTAATGTAAAATAAGATTGGATTTATACTCGAGAGTTCTCTATTGCTTCTTCCAAATATTCATTCGTGCAATTGGCTAGTATTGCAGTAGCCCACACTCAAAATCTTATAAAAATGGCGGCACTTCCACCTTCCACTCTGCAACTCTCTAAATCAAACCCAATGTTTTCACAGCACACACGTGTAAACCCAGCATACAAAATCCACTCACTTCCACCGGGAGACCATTCTTTCACTCAACGCGCTTCAAAGATGAAGACTCCTCCTCTTCCCTAGAACCCTCAGTCGACCCGGATGACAACATCGAGGTTCGGCTCTCCCAGGTCCGCCTCTGCTACCGAAATGGCACGGGCAAGAAAGGCGAGCTGCCAAGACCCGACAGGGCAAGAAATCTGGATTTGGATCAGGGTCGAGTGTGTACCTTCCACTTGTGCCACTATTGGAGTCGGTTTCAGAAGGGTTGAACGTGGAATTTTGGTTCAGCCTTTATTCAGAGCGGGTCAATGGCTGAATCGTGATTCTCGGACTATCCGCTTTATTGTTGGTGGAGCTGGCTATAGGAAAAGGTCTTATAAATTACCATTCACCTTTTATAGTTCTGATTCAAGTTTATTTTGTGGTTGCAGTTTCTGCATTGTATTTGAAGTATGAGAAAGAAAAAGTTAGTATATGGCCTAAGAAATGATTGATCATAGTATGAATTCCGACTCTTTGTTTGAGCATTGAAGGACAGAATTGTTCGTTTGTACTTTTGGTTGTGATGCTGTATTAAGGATTTTACTTCGTGTTGTTATGGTTGATAATTTTATGGCAATGAAGAAAAAGAGCTATAAGTAATAAAATACATGCAAATGTAAAATTACAGATTTTTTGATAGACTGGTCACAACTAAACGTGCGTTGCACGTTATTTTGAAATGTTTTACAAATGCTGTAAAATGATATTTGAAAATCAGT